CTGATGGTTGGGCCTGAAGTTTTATTAAAATGCTCCAACCCGCTTTGTACTTATTGCTTCCCTTGCCATGACTGAATTCAAAAAGGAGGTCATGTACAGCCATCCCACACCAGCTGAGATTTCATCACTCAGCTCTGGTCTGCTAATGTAAAAGCATTACTTCCTAAAAAGCAGACAAAGGAATTGGCTATTAATATTATGGGGGCACGTTCTGTGGCAGTAATAAGAAGATGCAATTATAATCAGGATTCATTGTGATGTATATTTTGCAGATTATATATAATATATATTATAATATTTGCAGATTATATATAATATTATGCATATTATATGATTCATTTTCTATACCAAAGAGATTGTGGTATATAGAGAGATGTAGACAAGTCAGACATATGGAAAGAGGAAAAAAAAAGTCTTATTTTTGTTCCACTTTACCAATGTGAAACTGAAACTTTTTAAGTGACTAGTCTAGAGTCACAAAGCACAGGAGATAAGGAATAGACCTGAACGTTGCCCAGTGTCAGGTCTGGACAGAACAAATGGTGGAAACCAGTGGCTTGGATCTCCCCTGGCACTTAATAAAGCATTCCCCAAATTTTTCCACTAGCTTGTTGCCTCACCCACCTCTCCCTTCCAAAACCAGGAATAGGTTCTACACAAGGCCAACACATGCCAAGATGCCATCCTGGCCTAGCAGCACTCACCACTGTTGCTCCGTTTCCTGCTTATATCAAGGCTGCTATCAGCTTCCTCAGGAACTTCAGCCAGATCAGCTGTCTGCAGGGACAGAGAGAGCAAATGAGATGGGAATCTGGTGGTGCACAACAAATACCTGCTTCATAGGGAGCAATAAAAGCCCACAAAGGACCCTAGAGAAAATTTCCTGTCTTCAGTACAAAACATTTCTGCAGAGTAAAGTAAAATGAAAGTTAAGGAATAATTGACTGTCTTAAACAATCTGAGTGTCTGTATAAAACAGAAGTTTGGGGAGATTGGAGATGATGAAGATTTTTTAAATAGCTGGCTACAGAAGAGACTGGCCATGAATTGAACTTATTGACCAACAATTTATTAATCCTGTACACATTTTTCAATAATATAACTGTAAGAGAAGTGTGATTTTAGTTCTGTTAACATTCTGGGGGGAAAAAAGAGGAGAAGTATATATTGGAGTTGTGCAATCAGCCTTGAACTATCCGCCTTCAATTTCTTTTTAAAATCTGGCTGGTATAGTTAGGGATAAATGAAGCTCAAATATTGTTGCTAGAATTACTATGATTTCTTACGTGTTCCATATTAATGTCAATCATGGTTAGGAACCCATTGTTCTAGGGCACAGGAAAACACGGGATGACAAAATCCCAAGCCTCTCAAATGTGCTCTGCGTAAGGCGCTGGATTCCTCAGCTGGATAGTTGGCTTCTCCATGTATATATAGCCTGACAGGAACCAGGAGCCACGCCAAACAGCTCTGTCCGAATCTAACCTTAAGGAGCTTCTCTTTCTGAACTTCCCACCTATGACTTTTGGATAAAACATCACCATACAAACAAACAAAGCTTTAAACTGAAGACTAGGACTGAAGATAGTGTAGCCAATATGAAAAACTTTTAAGTCCTCATATGGTCCTCAGCATTATTTACTTCTTGATAACAGACTTTTAAGGCAGACAGAAGGATTTAACTTAATTATTCCATGACACTCTACAATTGTATAAAATACACACCTCTATCTGGTGTTTTATAGACTTCTGCTTCCATTTCGTGAAAAAAATAAAATTGAGGAATATCCACTGCCTTTGTGTAGGGAGTACAGAATCTGAATTGCTTCATAGCTTTTTATATTGTTTTTTCCTTTCACTAGTGTTGACAAAAATACTTTCATTTTAGAAAATATATTTGCAATTTATTATATTTTCTAGGAATTTTATTTCTTAGCTACTTCTCACTGCAAGCATACTGCTGAATGACAAAGTTAACAGTAGATTTATGCTGTAGGTATCCTGTGATTATCATGTCTCTCTTACTATTTTCACAGCCTTCCACTTTATTTTCTTTCATGCAATGTTTTTAGACTTCACCCGTTAGGAAAAGGTCATGCTTGTCTTGCACCCTTCTCACCCCTGGGTGAGAAGGGATAGAAATGATAACGATGAGTCAGAGTAGAGCATAGCCAGGGCTTGTTAGTCGCTGGGTGAGGGAGGAAAAGACTGGCTTTGGTGAAATAGAAAGTTGCAACTATTTTTCAGCCCGCTGTTGTGGTATTCTCCTCAGTTTTCATGAACTAGCATCAAAATTACTGATTAGCTTCATACTTTGTTGGATACTACTGTATATGGGATGTGCAGTGATTGCCTCTTCAGTATACAACTAATCCAAAACCTCCTGAAATAACATCACTTACGTTTAAGGACTTTTCAGACAAGAAGTATATGACAGTGTCTAGTGGAAATGGTAGAGGTACAGAGCTGCTTTTGAGAAGACTAATAAGAACTGGAATCACATTTATATCACCTCAAGTGACTTTCTGTATAAATGTGGGTTGCAGAAGCACATTTTGAAGGAAGCAGTAGGTAGTAAATCTGGAACATATGGCTACTTTCTTTTAAAGGAAATACAGAATCCAGGCTGAAAATCACAGTGGGTGCATCCATACCGCTCAGTCATATTAAAAATACCTTGGCTAGTTCAAAGCAAGATGATTTCTCCACTCTGGGCAGACATGAGCTTCAGTCCTGGAAGTTGTAGAGGCAGGGCATGGCTCCTGGGCTTGCTGCCTTTGCTGTTAACTATTCTTGGCAGTTACAGCTATACTGCTCTGAGCCTGAGCTAACCCTCTCATGGCTTGGACACATTTGTGAGGTGCGGCAGGAACCCAGTTATCAGCATGTCCCTGGTTTGTCCCATGGCAGAATGCTGAAGCACTCTTCAGCTGCCAGGGTCGGAGCACAATTGTGCTGCAAAGTCTCAGTGATGCTGTGAGCCTCGCAGGTGCATTACTGCTTCTGTTTCAAGAGGAGAAGAGCAGCACAGAAGTGAGCAGGGAGGACCACAGGGAAAGAATTTTAGTCCCTGTGTGTTATTAACTGCATGGGCACCGACAGCTTGCATGCTCTGGTGCATTTTCACCTGGGCTCTAAGGGCTCTTTGTCACCCTCTCCTCTGGCCACTGGTCAGTGCCTGCTCCTCGGTCACACATTGCAGTTGTGAAGCTCTATGTACTCATCATTTTGATCAAGGTTGGGTCTGTCCCTGTTTTTTGTTCTTGACTTAATCCACAGGCTTGCACCAGCAGAATTTGTGGTTTCATGTGCCTGTTTATTCAGTTCTCTAGTGTTTCCTATTTCCTGTACGCTGGCACGTTTTACATTCGCTCTCAGCCTCGCTACCCTGCAAAAATTCCCATAATGAACCTGCGTTCCTCATTCTACACCCACAGCCTACTTAGTTACGATCACTTCTCTAGGGAAAACACAGCATTCATGATTTCTACGCTTGAGTAGTCATTCATAAATCAATGCATGGCTTTATTGATTTAGAAAGCAATAACTGCATTTGTAGAACTTCTGTTTCAAGTAAATGAAATAATTGAAAGAAAGAAGTGTAATCACAATGTGACAGGTGGTAAAGTCACTTTGGGTTTTAAAAAAGAATGAAAATTACCAAATTCCTTCTAAGGCACAAACCAGAGTGGATGAAGGACACGTCCTTTAATAAATCCCTTGCAGATTTCACTTAGTTCTTGGGTAAATTTGTGTTCTTCCCATCTGAGAAATGAATATCTGTTTAGAGACCACCTATGTCATCTGAAGTTACCACTCACTCATGTGAGTGAGTATATTTTTAAATCCTAGGAAGACACTCTACCAAATGTAACTATATTTTAGCTCAAGTTTAACTTAAACATGTAAATATTTGCACAGAGGCCTGGAGACAGTCTTACCGTTTTCCTGTGCATGGTAAGTTTTTTCTTTGATGTGAGCAAAGGAAAGATTGTCAGATAGCTTGGGTGTAATTTTTAGATATGATAATCAGCTCCAGTCTGTGGAGCATTTAGTTGTGACTGCTTTTTGAGATGTGGGAGAATCTCTTGGTAAAAAAATGAAAGAGATAGTCTGACCTCATGGACACCAGCAGTGCTGAAATATTGTTTTTCTCTTTTGTCAAGTGGTAGTGTTGAACTAAGCAGGGATTTACAACAAGCAGAGCTAAAGGGACTCTTTCTTCCCTTGTCCTCATTCTCTGCTCTTTTGCCATGGTGCTGAAGAAACTGACTTCAGTGATGGGGGAGAATGAATGATAAGTTTTAATAGGGAGGTGAAAATCTCTTTGCCTGGTTATAACAGGTTGAGAATACCTGTCAACATTTGAGGTTTGGCGAGAGGAGCTTAAATCTGTGACATTTCTCTCATGAGAATAAAAGATTATTCACTTAGCTTGTATTTTTCTCTTTTTCTCAAGTGTCATCTAAAAGATACTGAGTTTATATAAATAGTGTTTTCTTGTTTCATCTTGGGAGCTGGGAACAGGTTAGTTAGTGTTTTCTTTTTGTGTGTATTCGTTTTACAGATTGAAATACAAGTTTTGTGGACTCTTGTGAATAAGTACTGTTTCTCCACAAAGAAAATGGCAGAAAGATGTGGGATACTTACAGAGTTCCTATTGGGAGAATCAGACCCACTTCCAGAACTGCCTTTCTTGGTTTTCTGGGCTAATGAAGTCCCAAAACGGAGAGTTTCATACACAGGATCAACCTTATTGCCACAGGCTGTAATGGAAGGAGGAAAACATACATCAGTGCCTCGAAGATATTTCTGCCCTGGTTCCTGCTCCACCTGTAGAAACACCTGCTTGTACTGACGTGTTGGGATACATGTTTAGAAATACAAGTTGAGAGACCATCCTTATAAGAAGCATTTGAAAGTCTTAGTAGAATTGGCTTTTGCTAGTGATTTTTTTGCTGTGTCTTTGCTCACATTAAGGCTATGTTTCCTTCACACAGGCTCTCTGAGTCCCTGTCATTGCCTCATCTCAGTCCGTCTGCAATCCTCATTCCCTAATCTTCACCAATGCTGTCTACATTGACATGAGTGAGTCAAAGTACCAGGAGGCTTTAATCCATGTTTCCTGCCTGTTCCTACCACTAACTTCTTAGATTGCTCTCCATGATGCATATTGGATGGAAAAAAACTTGCATCTTCCCTGAGCTTTAGGTGGTGTGTGCAGGCTTTCACCTTTATGCCAGTAACCCTCACAGTGCTGTTACTGGGATAATGTGGATAAATAAGATGACTTTGGATCTTCCTGGGAAGGTGTTGATAGCACCAGTGTGAGACCAGGGGGAATCTGGGGGCAGTCATAAGAAAATACTTGCCATAGGAAATGTATTCCAGGTTGCTCAGCATAACCTAGTAGTAGTAAGAAAGGTCACCAACCCCACTGGCATGTCTAATCATTTTCACTCCCACGCTCTCCCTCTTAGCTAGTCCCAAAGTAATCTCTTGTGAAAGAGAAATGAACATCTTCAATTGGCATGAACAGATCCAGATGAAATTCTTCTATACATACTGCCTTGTTAGACTTCAGCTTCCTGTGTCGTACCAGGCAGTAGATGCTTAGAATACAGCATCTTAGTAACATTGTATGGGAGGGAAATCTGAGAAAAATACTAAAAAAATGCTTGGGATTTTGATTTTTGATGGGAACAAAGTACATCTCGTTTTTAAGTCAGAGATTGCTCAGAATGCTTCAATTACTTATGACAAAAATGACAATGATGGATGATTTTTAGAAAAAGAAACTTAGATGAAATCTATGTAACTGACTTCCTTTTTTCTAAACAACAAAATAAGTGTTCTTGGATAAGCCATTTTAAACTGACTGTTTACTTCTGGCATTCCTCTTTTTATACTGCCAGGTTTGCCTGCTCAGACTACTTCTGACTGGGGAGAAGTATTATTGAGGACCGACTCAATTTCTCCATTTCAGAAATCTTTCAGGTATTACAGTGAGCAAAATGTGGTCTTTTAACTACTTGACAAACTGCAGGAACATTTTGTAAGAAAAAAAATTAGAAAAAGTGAAAAGGGTGGGTGAAAAAAAGAACAAGAACCTTACAAAGTCCTATAAGGGCAAGGCCAGTGGTTTAAATGCATCCACTGTTGTGATCTTTGTCTCTCACGTAGCTCTTCCCAGCTCCGACCTTCACTTCAGTAATCCACAGTTTCTTCCTAAGTTCCTTACTTTGAGCTCATGTAGTTGTTATTATAAACAGAATGACTACTAGGAGGTTCCATGTGGGGGGTTTTGAGTGAAACACAATAAACACACCCTCTCCTCTTCCAGCTTTGTATCTTTGAAGTGGTCCTTTCCTGAGATGGCAGAAGGACATCCAGTCACTGAAAGGAGCTGGAAGGCAGCTGAGGGCAAATACCATGGCTGGAAGTCTGCCGCTGCTGTTGCAGAGCACTGCCAAAGGGAGACTGAACGGAAAAGCAATCAGAACCTACCAATAGGCATCACTTCCTTGATGCAGCCAAACTGTTCATGAATGAGAAGTGGTGAGCTGTAGTACCGTCGAAATCCCTTTGGCTGGAGGGAGAGAAAGCAAAAACATGTGAAGTGCATTGCTGCCATGATTGACATAGTAGAAATAACCTCAGCTCCTTGGCTAGAGGCATAGCAGAGCTTTTTTATTTCTTCTGCAAAGTGTGGTGAGACTGGAAATTTGCCTTCTGTTGTTGAGTCACTGTGGGGTGCAGAGATCAGGGTTTTATTTAATTTTTCTCCTGGAAAAAGCTAATTTCCCGTATTTGTGTGGAAAAAGGAGGAGCTCATTTCCAGCCTTTCTTTTCTTTTGTCTTACACAAAAGCAGCACTAATTAATTACAGTAGAAGTGCTGAATCATTAGATGTTCTGAGAAGTTTTATGTCCTTCTCCATTTCTTCTTATGTGATGTGCATTTGCACTGTTTTGCATTTGTTAAACGTGCATCTATTCTTCCCCGTGTTTTCATGTATCGTTTCTTTAGGTTTTTCTAAAATTTGCTGCTGACTGACCACAGTTTCCACTCTTTTTTTTTTTTCTTTTTTTTTTTTCCCCAGCTTTACAAGGTCTAAAAACTCCCCAGTTTTTAGAAAATGCCCCCTAAACATCTGTTCGTAGAGAAATGCACTATAACAACTCAAGCTACATCACTAAAGAATACCCAGCATGGCCAGTGGTGCCCTATATCACTCTATAAATGATTCTAAGAAGACTGAATATTTCTTGTTATTTTTCTGTTTACCATCTCAAATTGGGAATGCTTCAGGCAAAGGCAAATGAAGGTGCTAACACCTAAATCATTGGAAATGCCATTCAAGGCATTAGAGATTCACAAAAGTTCTCTCTGATCTCTGCAGGCTGTGAGAACTTCCAGCCATAGTGAGAAGTGGGAAGGCAGCATGAGGATGTGCATCTTTTCTGTATCTTATATTCAGTATGAAAAAATTATACAGTACTAGTTCTTTCACTAATGAGCTGCAGTATGGAATGAGAAGGAGCAAGGGGGCTGGTAAATTTGGTTACTGACAGAAACAAATTCCAGATTCCCCAGCTTCAGTTTAGACCCAAACTAAATTCAGACACCACATGAACTCATAAAACTCCCATGACTCTGCTGGAATTCTTCCTGCTATAAATTTGGCCTCTTGTTTTCTGTTTTTGTACACTGATCTCCACAAGAGTTGAGGCTGGAATCAGGCAATGTGTGAAGCAATTAATGTGATTTAATATTTGGCTTGTCCCAAGCCTGCAGTGAGATGATTCTGCAGATCAACTTCCTATACCAGAAAACACCAAACCAAGACTATGATTATGCTTTAAAAGCATAAAGATTTGCTTCAGGACTATGAACAACAATAGCAATAATTGAATATACTTGAAGAGACAGTAGGTTTTCTAGTCTTTTTGAAGACAAGGCATGGGTTTTTTTAATCATTTAACATAGCAAGGTTGTTTATGCTTAGTTCAGATTTGCCTTCAGCTGGCATATGTTTGCAGGAGAACCAAAATCATCTGAAAAGCAAACTGGACAATTACCGACCAACAAAGCTGTACAAGAGCAAGTGCCATATTCTGCACTGGGAGTGCAGCCCTGGACTCCCAAGGACATGGGGAGAAGAGGCAGGAGAGCCACCCCCACTGAATGGGGTCTGGGGGGGTTCAGGCTGATAGGCAAGTTGAATTTGAGTCAGCAGCGTGCCCTGGCAGTCCAAACCATACCTGGGTCAGGGGGAGGTTAGGGGAAGGTTCTTCATCAGAGGGTGGTGGGCATGGAACAGGCTCCCCAGAGCAGTGGGCATGGTCCTGAGCTGCCACAGTCCTAGAAGTACTTGCACAACGCTCTCAGGCATAGAGGGTTTGGATTTTGGGTGGAGCTGTGCAGAGGCAGGAGTTGAGCTTGATGATTCTTGTGAGTCCCTTCCAATTCTTGATATTCTACGATTCTATCATTCTATCAACATGTGGACTCAGTTTTTATATTCCAACAATTTTCTTAAGCCATATTGTCATTTTTTTAAGTCTTTCCCCCCCCCCCCCCCCCCCCCAGGAGTAACCAAATGAATCATTTTCCCGTAAAAAGCCACCAAGGTAGAATTTTTTCAAATACAGTATCCTGCCTTTGCCAACAACATAGGCACTAAAGTGCTGTGCTCCTTACAGGGCAGGGCTCCTCCAAGCCTCTCCTACGGAAAGACTTCTGCAAGCTCTGTAGGGTCTCACTGTGAAACATCTTTCAGTTTTCTTTTTAAGCTGAATGATGCTTATTCTTCAGGCCCTAACAATGGAGGAAAAAAAAAAAAGATTTTTCATTTGCTAAAATCCTCTGAAATATTTTGACTAATTGGTAGCTTTGACCACAGTGATTTCCACTACAGTAAGTATAGTTCAAATCATGGGAATTAATTCTAATATTCAGCTCAGTTTAGATTATGTAACTGTGTTTTTCAGCTAAAAGCCAGCCAGGGGGTCTGACCCACAAAGCAACGTGCCCCCAACTGCACTTGCAGCCCTGGGCTGCTTACTTACCAGCTTGCCCATGCAACGCTGTTGTCCAATACTGTCTGCACACTTGTGGTGGATGCTCATCTTACAAGCCTTACAGCGCAGTCCGTGCTTAGCATTTGTCCCTGTGAAATGCAAGGAAATGATTTGATTAGACAAAATCAATAGTTTCCATGCACTTAACAAATTTCCATGCATTTAATGAACGACCTGAAAGAGCTAATAGGGACGTCAGCGGTGGTAGTGTAAATACTGACGGCTAACTTTGCCACGCTTACTTTATACGCATGTTTATACTTGTTCTTTTTTCTTTTTCTTTTAAACAGTCTTTTCATTTCAGTCACTTATCCTCCAGGCTCCTTCCCAGGCTAGTGCTGCCTTTAGATATCTTAGGCTCTGTTGTGTGATAGTGTGAGGATGCTGAGCCAGCTTCCTTAGCGTTGCCTATTGATGTACCCAAGGGACTGCCACTGTTGCTTCTTCAGATCAGTGTCCAGTGGCGTGCAGGAATTGCTCCTTGCACATTCCTGAGCTGGGCAGCAAGGATGACGTAAACCTGATTTCGTTCTCCTTCACTGGCAATGGAAAAATCTGGTGACTCGGCAGAAATGCTGCCATGCAGAAGCAGAAGACTTCTCCCAGTACTGGAGAACAGTAGCTCTGAATTACGCTCAGTGTGGACCTACTCTGAAATAACACAGTATAGTCTGTCTTCCAGGAAGAAACAGTCACTCTTATTCATACACCCATAAGACTTCCTGAGCTACGTAATAGCAGTTAAGCTGCAGCAACTCTTTTCCTCTTGCCACAGGACTGTATAAATGGGATGAGTAAACAGCATGTCAGTTCATTGCCATCAACTGAATAAGAAACAAGGTAGTAAAAATAAAAACAAAAAAACCTCTTGACATTTTAAACTGGCCCTCATTAGTCAGACATGATAGGAATATTAGTCAGAGGAGTCAGAAAATCCCACATCTGAAAGTACTCATGTAGATCTTGATTATTTGAGTAGTTAACATCGTGTACACGTTGCTGACTGAATTCAGCGAAATGCTGCTTCTAAAAGAAGCACTCCAGGGTAAGATGTATCAAGTTGGTGCCAGAAAATGAGACTTATTGAGACCACTTTCAAGGGAAGAGGTCCCTGAAGTGGCCACTTCCAAGTCAGGTGGAGGCAGGCTGCAAGAGCTGACAATGTCTGCACTGAGACAGGCTTGAATGTATCACTTGCGTGTTGTTTGCAGGTCAGGTAATCAGCAAAGTCACTGCTTTCCAGCTGAGACTGTTTAAGAGATGAGCAGTGAATGAGGCTTGGCATTTTGGGGTGCGCTCCAAGGGCCCCTGGGTGCAGACTGCATGACCCCTCTTGGCTGAGTCAACACATGATGCCTCACTGCTTGGTTAACGTGCAGTTAGCTTCACCCTGGGCTCTTTTTCCAGATTTACTGCAATATATCCCTGTTGATTTTTATTTTCTTTCCCCCCCTCAGTGGTTGCACTTGGATTACTGTGCTCTGACAATTTTTCTTCCTGTTACACTTTCTTTTCAATAACAGATGCTCAAACCAATATTGACTTCTGTGGCTTTGTGCTTGTGTTGCTGAGAATGAAATGCTGTATCACCCTTTCTGATGGTCTATGGCAAACACAGAGAGCTATGAGAAAACAGGACTTCCTCCACATTGTTCTATTAGGTCTACAGGTAAGAATGAAAAAAGCAAAATGTCATCATATTTTGCATATAACAGGTACTCAAAATCAATGTTTACACTGAGTCTAATTGTCTTACGCTGATCTGTGATGCATAGCTCTTACCTTGCTTTACATGCTGCTCCTGAGATTCAGCTGGAGGGGCAGTCAGTGCCATAGTCCTTTCTGCCAGCTCTATTACGCTATTCTACCCACATTAATATGTTACAAGCTGGATATTGGTCTTTATATGGCATTACTGTGTGATCACAGGAGAGACACATTCAATGATGTAGCGGCACATCCAGCTGATGTGCAAAATGCACATAGAGTGTGCTCTTTTCAAAAAAACATTTTGGAAGAGGAATCTGTGGTCACGTAAGAATGAGCTACTGTCCGTCTTATACAATAAACTACAAAAAATGTAATACTATATTTCCACCTACAGGTAGGTAAACAGTTGCTTCAAAGAGAGAATTCAGTCACACATTTCAGTCTACAAGAAAGATTTTAAAATCAAAATGAAACTGCCTTTAACCATCAAAAGCTTCAATCATCAATTCATTGTCACTTCTAAATACTTGGTTTACTGTGGGAATAAGCAGCTTGGAAGTAATTTGCATGTGTCTCCCTGCCTCCCTCTGAGGAATAACCAAAGGGCTTAAAGAAGAAGAGTTAGTTCCATATTTACTTACCCATCATACCTCAAGCTCTGAAAAGGACATTTATATGGGAAATATTTTAATTTTCCCTCAGGATAACTCTTCCTTCTCCAGTTTCTGATCTCCACCACACTAACTCAAACCTCCTCGGAGGATTATAGCTAAGCTGTTTCAAAAGCATGCCAGAGGTTAGATAACTGCATATTGACAATGTATCTGCCCCCTAGATGCTGAGATTCAGAACTGAGGTGGAGCCACAGCTCACAGTGCAGAGAAGGACTGATCCATGTGTTGCACGGGTGTGAATGAAGCCAGGATTTATACTGCAGTTAGGTTTTGCATGCAAGGCTTTGCAGTCGCTTGAATGGGCTTGCTTTTTGTAGGCATCTCTGTAGTTTGAAATGAGGAAAAAGCAGGTAGAACATGGGTGTTGTAAACAAGTTAATAAATGTGGTGCTAGGTAAGCATGTTGACAGTCATGCCAAAATAAGAGAGGTGTTTCATTAGCCTAAAGAGGTGGCACAGGAGATAGCAATGTCTTGAAACCCTACTGGCAAAGACATTCCCAAATACATCTTCCTCCAGAGAGCATGAAAAATCCCTCGTGAAAGCGAGGGATTTGTTCTAGGTATAATTTAAATAGAAAAAAAATGTAAGTGGTATTAATGACTAAAAGTAAAAAATGATAATAATCATGTTAATAACAATAATGATTCACTGGGGCAGACTATTTGAGGGGAACTTGGGCAGTTCCACTTGTCCTTCCGGAAGGTAACAGGGTGTGTGTGAAGTTAAAAACCACTCTGTGGTCTGCTTATTCCCACTGGGTTAATCTCTTTGCAGACTGAAATGTGGGGATCAAAAAGAATTCAGATGGTCATAGCGGTGTCTGGATGTGACACTACTCCTGTGAAGCCTGGGACACTAAAACACTCTCCTCTGGGGCTTCTGTTGGCCATATTGTTCTCTACTTCCTGTCCTTAAGTAGCTGGCAACCTGACTGCAGCCCACCATTTATTCCCACTAGCAGATATTCCTCTATGCTAATTTTACAGCACAGCAGGAAGCTACTAGTATGAAGTACTCAGTGAAATGCCTTTATCCACATGGAATGTGCCAGTCATTTCCATTTGTGGTGGATCAGAAATACAGGTGCTGAAGGCTTAGCAATTATGCTAAACTTTGAGCACCCTAGCTAGTTTGCTCCAGTATTCTTTCAGAGGAGGAGGAGATTAACAGCTTTGATGGATTCTTTATCATTACCTTTAAAATATAATTATCTCCATTCATTTCTCCAAAGACCCTTATTATGGTTACTTAATCAAATTATTACAAGTTGAGCACATTAGAACAAAGGTTCTGCTCACTCTGGTTTTTTTTGCAGTCTTGGGATGTGAGATTTTTTTATTCAAGGCACAGTATTAC